CAAACCCTCGAAACACCCGAAACGGCATATGTATTCATCCATCACCTTCTTCGCCAGCGTGACTGCTGAGGTGTTTCTCACTGGGAAGGCTTGAGCAAACTTAGTAAAATGATCGGAGACCACCAGCAACCACTCATGGCCAGAGGTAGATCTTGGTGTGGGACCTACGATGTCTATTGCAACCCTTTGTAGGGGGTGCCCTGCCTTAATGTTTATAAGGGGTGCCTTTGGAAGCTTGCAAGGGTCGTTGACTTCAGCACATGGGACACACCTTCTCACGTGCATCTCGACATCTTCCCGCATGCCATGCCAATAAAATCTCCTCCGCACTTTTTCTAGAGTCTTCGAGACGCCAAGGTGGCCTGCTGAAGGATTGTTGTGCAAGGCGCACAACACTTGTGACACGACGCTCTCGGGCAAGCAGATTTGATGATAAATCTCTTCGCCTGTCACTTCGTGTTCCCAACGTCTAAACACCAGACCGTCCCTGAGAAACAGCCTTCCCCATTGTGACCAGTATGACAAAAGTTTGCGCCCCCCTCCTTCCACATCGCCTCTCGCGGGTCTGACACCAGTTTCAAGCCACCTCATAACTTGCGACAGAACAGGATCTTGGTTTTGGGCTGCACGTATACTTTCTCTCGACAAGGGTTCCATATTCACAGACTGAATCAGGGTGGCGTCCCTCTCTACCTTAACCGATGCACCCTCGTCCCAGGGAAGGCGGGACAGTCCATCCGCATTGCCGTGCAACTGACCCGGACGATGTTCCACCTCGAAATCAAAGTCACTAAGCCTTTCAAGCCACCTAGCCACCTGGCCTCTAGGGTTTTTAAAGTTCCGTAGCCACTGCAGAGCACTATGGTCAGTCCTGACCAGAAAACGTCGCCCGTAAAGGAATGTCTCGAAGTGCTCCGTTCCCCACACGAGGGCCAACAGTTCCTTCCGGGTAGTGCTATAGTTTCTTTCAGCCTTTGATAGAGCACGCGCTGCGTATGCTATTACACGTTCTTTCCCACATTGAACCTGCGACAACACCGCCCCCAGCCCACTGTCACTGGCATCACTGTCCAGGATGAACGGTACGTCTAGCTGGGGAAAAGCCAGGATGGGAGCACTCGACAATCTGTGCTTGATGTCCTGGAAAGCTTTCTTGCACTCAGCTGTCCATCTGAAACGGTCCCCCTTTTGACAAGCGCGGTGCAAAGGGGATGCAATTTGGGCGTAGTTTGGCACAAATTGTCTATAGTAACCAGCCGTCCCCAAGAACGCTCTCAGCTGACTCTCATCAACTGGCTCCGGCCACTCCTTTATGACTCTTATTTTCTCTGGATCAGTAGATATGCCCTCCCGTGACACGACGTGACCTAACACAACCACCTGTTCACACAAAAGCTTGCATTTCTTGGGGTTAATCTTCAAGCCTGCTTCTGTCAAGCGTGACAACACAAGTGACAGTCTCTCCCTATGCTCCTGTAGTGTTCGACCAAAGACAATGATATCATCTAGATACACTAGACAGTCTGACCAGCATAAACCCTTCAAGATAAGGTGCATAGCCCTCATAAAACATGCAGGTGCATTCGTAAGGCCAAAACTTAGTTTACGGAATTGGTAAAGACCATCCGGAGTTGCGAACGCTGTCTTTTCCCGATCTTCCTCTGCCACATCAATTTGCCAATATCCCCTAAGGAGGTCGAGATGAGAAAACCACTGTGCCCCCGATAAACTCTCCAATATGTCATCACACCGAGGAAGCGGGTACAAGTCTCGCTTGGTTACCGAGTTAAGAGCGCGGTAGTCCACACAGAAACGTTGACTGCCATCAGGTTTCGCTACTAAAACCACCGGAGAGGACCAAGGGGAATCGGACGGTTCTATAATCTCTGCTTCGAGCATTTCATCCACTTGGTTGCGCATTTCTTGCCTTTTGTGAAAGGGAACTCTTCGTGGCGGTACCTGGATTGGCTTGGAAGAGCCTGTGTCGATGGTATGTTGTACGCCCTTTGCAGTACCTAAATCCCACGGCCCCTTTGAAAGGCAGTCAGCGTAAGTGGACAACACCTCATAATGCCTAAGTTTTTCCTCTTCCGGGACCAAATCGCTGCTGATCGGGAACATCTCTTCTACCAATGAACTGTGAACGTCAGCGTCCCTCACAAAAACCGCACCACATTGTTTAGCTTCCAATCCAACCTCAACATCTTCCTTTGAGGCCGCAGGGGGTACCACCTTGTAGCCCACACCCACATTGGTTTCCTCCTGTGATTCCTCCTCGCCAGCTAATGGGTAGAGGTCCCCCATACTGCTACACCTGTAAATCTTGAGGGGCTTGTTAAGGTAATTGAACACACGAACTGGGATTCGACCTCCTTTCACAGTCACGGCCGTCCGAAAGGCCCCAGCTGAATATCTTTCTGAAAACTTGTCCGCTGGTTCCAGTACACCCATACATTCGTCTAAGTCATCTACCCCTTGGACCTCACAAGGTATGTCTGCGACCATATTTGGAGATAATGTGACGGTTTCGGCCACAGTGATCCTGTAAACTCTATCAAGGCATCCAAAAACCATTCTGTTGGGTCCCTCCTTACTGTAGACAGTGTTAGTGTCAAAGTTAATGATACATTTGTGAGCTGTTAGAAAATCTATACCAATCAACACTTGCTGTGCCAAGCCTCGGCACACCAGCACTTTATGCTTAGCCCTGATTGCGCCCAGCTGAATTGTTACTTCTGTTTCTCCAACCACATCAAGTGGCATATTGTTGGCCCCCAGGACAGGCTTCAGTGCGGGCTCAAGTTTGTTTATATGTGTCTTAGAGCGACTGTATAGGTCTTCACTGATAATTGTTGCTTCTGCACCTGTGTCTAATAAGGCTTGGGACTTAACACCATTGACATCACAAGGCAAAAATGCTCCCTTTGGATTCTCGGGCGGGGTCACTTTCGGCTGCGCCCCGCCCATCTCCCGTTTCCCTGGTCGGGACGGACTTGATGTGGACATTCACGAATAAAATGAGACAGGCTACCGCACTTAAAACATGCTCTGGGGCCTTGTCCAGGTTCTACGCCTTCATTCCTACCTTGCCTCCCTTGAGGAATATTCTTTAGCTTCTCTAAGATTTCAGCTTGCTGCTGAAAAAGCTCCTTAGCCCACGCTGGGGGTTCTTGGGTGCCCTGTTGGGAGCCAAACTTTTCCTGCTCCCCAGATGTTGAAGACAGTACTCGTGCACTTCCCTTGTTTAGCACTTTTTGATTTGATTCATATCGCTGAGCTGCCGCTAGGGCCTCATCCAAAGTATTGGGCCCCAAATCCAACACCTTCTCTCGCAATATAATAGGGGTCAAAGCACCCACGAAGAAATCTCTGGCCGTGCGATTGAGTATATCCGGGGGGTCATCCGGATAGGCCAGCTCCACAAGACGAGAAATGTCGCACCTCAGTTGATGTAGATCTTCGTCAGGACGTCTTAATTTGGCTCGTAGAGCGGAAATGTGTACCTGACGAGATTCCTTAGGATGAAATCGATCTGTCAGAGCGCATTCAACGGCTGTCCACGTGGCTGTTTGTTCGGCAGTCAGGCTGTAATAGGTCTGTTCGACAAGGCCTTTCAGGTACGCGGGTAATATTTGACATTGAAGTTCAGGACTCCACTTGTTAAGGGCTGCAATACTTTTAAATTTCCGTATCCAAACCACCCAACTTTCGCTGGACGTCGCAGAGAAGCTGTCCGGTTTGATGCGAAGCGGGTTTTCTTGCGACGTGGTCGGTGAACCGCCGCTTGCACCAGCCTTACTTTCACTTTTCTTTCCAAGTTTCGCCTCGAGGAGCGCTACTTTCTCTTCTAAAGCTTTCACAGTATCTTCCATGGCAAAAGTCCCACCGCTGCCACCAAATGTAACAAAACTAACACAGCTAGCGTTCGAATCACTTTACTAAAACTAGCACAACAGTTACACGAGTCGTAGGTCTCCTAAACTGCGCATGTCCGACCCAACTCGGGCTCAGGCCCCACGCTACATGTGCATGGGGCAACTGTCCACAGACTTACCTCAATAAGATACTTGTTCTGCAAAAACGTGCTTTGCGTTTGATTTATTTTTCTAAACCCAGAGGCCATGCAATCCCTTTTTTTATTGAATCAAACTGCCTTCCTTAGCAGTCTTTGTTCTTTCAACAGTTAAGCTATTTAATGTATGACGTTCATGCTAAGACAGCTCCTAAAAGTCTTCTCGATAAGTTTGCGAACATCAATACAAAACATCATTATAATACGCGATTATCTGCAAAAGAATGCTTCTCTGTCAAATTCTGTGGAACTGAAAAAATGAAAAAATCTTTTACTAGAATTGGTGTGTCTATTTGGAATTCTATTCCACTTTCTGTTAAGACTCTCAACGTTTCTAATTTTCGTAAAAAAATTAAATCACTACTCCTTAATGTTCTAGGTAATGAAGATAATTATTTGAATGTTAATTATTTAATAGAATATTTTGTGAAGTTAACCTGATATGTTGTATATACCTCCAGTTATAATTTTAGTCTTTTTCAAATAACAAAATCCCTTGTACTTGAATTTATATATAAGGTGTTTCTTTCTCTATGTTTTTGTATTTCTTCTTTTCTTTTTTTCTTATGTAATTTAATAACGCCTTTAGTTAAAGTCTTGTCCTACCTAGATTAGCATTATAGCTATTTGCAGGACATGAAGTATTGTAAACTTTATATTTCTTTAAATAAATACATTGTTGTTGTTGTTGTTGTTAATACCTCCTGTGCAACTGTATACTCTTCCCGGATTTGGTGCTCAACGTATCCATCAAAAAGGTAGGCATAAGAAGGCCCCATTCCACTTCCCATCGAAACGCCGCCAATCTGGCGGTAGTATTCATTATTAAACGAAAAAGAATTCAACGTGAGCACTAGCTCAACGAGTCTTATAAGAGTACTCGTTGAAGGCTCTTTGGCGAACAGAAAGCGTTGTCCAGGATTGTGGTGTCAAATCTGAATGAGTCAAATATGTGAAAAGCACGGTTGGTGTCCTTAGCATAGGTAGAAAGACTTCTGACAAGATGCGCCATGACTTCATCCAGATGGGATGAGATGTTTTCCGTGGGAAAAGTGCAGTTAGGGACAATGGGTCGACCAAGGTTAGGATTGTGTATTGTTGATCGTGCGCACTTGACACTCATACCATTGACCGTGTTTTCCACCTTTTCCTGATACTTTTGAAGTTGATCTGTGGTCGGACAGCTGTCCATTGGCTTCTTCGATACAAAGTGGGCGCGACCAAACGACAAAAGCTCCTCCTTTATTAACTGGCTTCATTACCACGTCCGTACGTCATCTGAATTCTCGTGAAGCCTTTATCTCAGATTGCGACAGGTTATTAGAATACCGGCGTGTGACTGAACTATTGAAATCCAGTGAGTTGACAAACCAAAGACTGAGGCCAATGTAATGATCAGCAGCGGGGAATTCGCCTTCAGGAGGAGTCCATTCAGAGATCTTCACGTATAACTTCTTAAAAGGGCCGGGGCCATCATTAGATTCATCACCCGTTGTATAGTTTGCTTGTCCGTAAGGGTGATCCTTCAGTCGCAAGCGGCGGTAGTCGGTATCTCTCACAATCGGCCTTTAATTGATATTGGTCAACCTGAAATACGCTGTAATCTTCAATGCTCGCGACCATCATTATTTTTAGTCATAAGCTTTGGCTTAAATACAGTCGTTTAGAGTTTTAATGCCCAGAAGACGTCTACGGTAGAAGGAACGCGTAGGAGAATAAACACGTTTTTCCGCTACAGTTCGCAGAATACTGTTCACTAGGTTAGGTAAAAAGGTTTGCACTGCGCATCACCTACTCTGTATAAAATTGGAACATTAAAGGGTGTGGCGATTTTCGGCAGCCACCTCTTCTACAAGTTTTTAATGGCGATTATGACAACTACCGGGGCAAAAATGGTGTTGGACTTACAACTCGCCCCAGTCCCTTCCCGTAAAATGATTATTTGAAGCCCAACTTGAACCTTTGTCGTCTTGTTGCAATGAAACGAGCATGGGGAGCCGCCTTTCATTGATGTTGTTTACTTGTATTGGGTACGCATATTTTAAGAGCACAAAAATCTGGATAATGGACGTTGCATTGTACACTATAAATGACGTTTGCCAACAGCTAGCCAACCACGCAACTTCCGTTAGTTACCTTCTTAAGCGAATCAGCGAAATTCAAACCACAGAGTCTAGAAAGATTGCCTTTTTTGCTGTCCTCTAGGGAAGAAAGAACTAGCCCCTCTGTAGAGACAAAAACACACACAAAAAAGCTTTCAGGGCGATAATCTGTATTTATTAAAGTGACAAAAATTCACAAGAAGTGGACTGTACCTTGTTTGAGGAACGTTTCCAAGAAGGCGACGCCTCTCAAACCATCAACTACACTTGATTGCCCATACGACATAAAAACCTTTCCAAAAAATAATATGGGGATTGGATTGAGGGCACTGATTTTTTCGTACCGTCTGTGGTAATTGCCTTTGTGATAATATCCATCGTCTCACTCTTCAGAATGTGATGCTGCAGCCCTCTTAATGGCTCAGTTTCTAATGTCCCACTAGTGTTAAATTTATCTGTAAGATGAAACCATGATTAACGTAAACATATGCTAAGAATATAAAAAACCCAAACCAACCAACAAACAACAACAACAACAAGGACAAAAAAGAATACGTGGTTAAGTCTGTTTTCCCCCTGCAGTTGGTCAATTGCGGCCGAAAGCTTACTGTACGTACCAAAATTTCAAAAGCAAATGCTCCTTTTGCAGCTTTACATCTTTTTATCCCGAATAAATGAATTAATGAGAGTTGTAATACAGTCGAACCTCCACTAACGGCCACCTCTATACAACGGCAACGGCCATTAAAGCGTGTCCCCAACAGCCAAAATAACCTCTCAACAATTGCCAGTTTTTTCAGCGACTGATGAAAAGGTCAAGAATGGTCATGAAATTTGACACACTTATGGTACGTCGATCATTAATCGCGGCAACCTTATTTTGATTGTGTTCCATTTATACATCTGCAGTAAGCATAAATTGTTCACGATACTTATAGCGAATGTTGCGAACTTTGCTCTTTTTGTCACGTTAACATTTTGATTCAAAATATTATTCAAGTTTTTCTCTGTATATTCAGTATATATGATTGGATTACCATTATGGGATACAGGAAGCATGAACGTAGCACAATAAACATGTTGTACACCCCCCCCCCCCCAAAAAAAAAAAAACCCCCCCCCTTCAAAAAAACCCCCCCCCCCCCCACCGCCCCTTTCTTTTTTTCCTCCATTAGCCCTTTTTGGAGGGTTTTCCTTTTTATTTTTTTAACCCTAGGGTCTGTGAGGTTATTTTGTTTTTTCAAATTTTAAAACATTGTTTTTCAATAAATTTATACTTCTGCAATAAACATTAATTGTTCACGATACTTATAGCGAATGTTGCGAACTTTGCTTTTTTTGTCACGTTAACATTTTTATTCAAAATATTATTCAAGTTTTTCTCTGTATATTCAGTATAAATGATTGGATTACCATTATGGGAAACAGGAAGAATGAACGGAACACAAAAAACATGTTGTACCCCCCCCCCCCCCAAAAAAAAAACCACCCCTACCTTCCAATAACAGCCACCTCGCCCCAACGGCCACTTTCTTCTGTCCTCAAGGTAGCCGTTGTGGAGAGGTTCGACTGTATATCTATTAACCCTGAGGACTTGGATGTTGATTTCGTTCTTCCAAATTTTAACTCGTGTTTATTCGAGAACAAAGTTGATAAACACACTGGATCATAATCTTACCGGAGAAAAATTCTAATCAGCGTTTGAAATTTTTATCGCAGATCATAATTAAGGAGACCAAAATGGACTGGCAGGTATTCGAGACGTTTTGTCAAAGAAAAACGAGCGAACTAACTTACCTTGACGACTTTTTTTGCCATTTGTAGTGTTGTTCTCAAAGACAGACCAAGGAAAGCTGGAGGGGACTTCGAGCCAGACACAGTGTCCAGTTTTCAAAATACTCTAGCATTACATTGGTGAGATAAGACTTTCAATGCTCTTAGTTTTGAACAAAAAAAACTTTTTCAACGCGGTACATTTGCCTTTTGACGTCATGGAGATTCTTTGTAATGTGCGATTGTTTTCGCATGAAAATCGGCGGAAAAACTCGGCCTGTAATTTACAATACGGACTGAGAAGTGTGGTAAAAAAAGTATTTATACCTAACTGCCCGGCCACCATCAGAGCAGTTTCCACGCCCTCTAAAACTGTCAGGGTTGGTATCTTTCTGTGATGTATCTTTGCATAGACGTGTGACCAACCAATCTGCAAACTCTCATTATCCTAACAGCAAAAGAATATTCACATAGCGTAAATTTTCTCCTTTGAACGGAATTCAGTTACTTCTTACTATTAGTTGGTCACATGAACTCTTAAAATTAAAATGTTGACACAAGCATGGCACATTGTGTAGGAGCTTACAGTTACTGAACATGATTTAGGTATTAATGGAATACTTTTTTTCCCACTGATACAGGCATAAAGGAGCCTGTTGCAAACTTTGCATGTTTATCTCTAAAAAAGCTGTTTATGATTAAAAGTAAAAAGATTAAAAAGTACGTAGTTAGCGACCAAACTATTGCGTAAATATTTTTTCTTATCTTTTTCAGAAGCAATTATGTGGGGTGCCATTTACTTTCGTACCCACTGGGTAAGATTTCGCGTGCTTCACGGCAGGAAGTTTAACTAATGCTTTGTTTTCAACGTTTGGGCCACTAAGCTGACGTACGTTATTGAAAATCAGTAACTACTGATCCCTCGGAAGCCTTGTAAAATTGTTTCTTATTGTTGGGATTCCTTCGTCTCAAATAAATATAATTCAGTATCATAATGAAGGAAATTAACTGGCAATAAAATTAACTGACGTCCTATTCAAATTACAAAGCTTACGCTAGTCACTACAGCTGGAACCCCCTGGTAAGTTGCTCAAAACTCTCCATATTTTGGCCTTCCGTAAGCGACCAATTCCGGCGCGAACCCTGCAACCTAAGCAGATTTATTCTGCTCTTAATCCTCTTCCCAGAAGAGACCCCTTGTGGTTCGACTCTCGTAGGATACCACTCCGCGTAAGCAAACACTAAATCTTGGCATTATACGAAGTCATTACCGGGATAGAAATTAAGTGTTGAGCGTTTTTGTTTGAGAAAATGTTGCCTGTGCTACGGCAGGTAGATTATCCTTCTTTTTTACGGAAATATCACTACTTTCGACGTGTGCACCATACTGCTAATGGATGTGCTGTCCACTGTAGTGTCTCACGGGCATCTCACGTTGTTAGCACTGCAGAGGGGGGATTTTCGCAATTGGTGAAGGTGGCTTGACGGTTAAGTCATTGCTACAGACCATAATATAAATTAGTAACCAATTGCAGTAACGTCAAATTACCTGAGGTATCAGGCTTAGAGCCTCTCTGAGATATTTGTTTGCCACTGGATAATTTCCCTGCAACAGCGATATATGTGGTTATACCTTCACGATATTTGCTATAAAGAGATAAACTGACAAATATTTTTCCTTGGCCCACATAAACTATACAAATAAATTATTTTGGTTCAGATGTTCTAAGAACGACGATTGGTACACTTAAATCTTCTCCTTCGTTCAAATTTTATTTTCCTTTTCTTCGAACTCAATATCAGAGATTGCCATAAACAAACAAAATGGAAAATAGAATTTGAACCAAACCCGACATGAATGAACGACTACACAGGCACTCACGAAAGCCGTATAATTACTCTGACATCATTCACGTTCGAACTTATGAATTTCAACAGTACGTTACAAACCATTATTGATGTAAAGTTATGACACGTAAATAGAGGCTATGTACCTGCTCCTTAGCAGTATTTGCCATATGTAGATATAGCTCAACCTTGTGCTGCTTACATTTAATTTCAATTTCAGCCAGACGTAAGCCAGAGCTAGATTTAAAGAGAGAAAACAGAACAAAAGTTTTATTTATCACCAGTTTTACTTGCTTTGTTAACAATAACTTTCTGCCAAATTCCGAAGACGAGTAGATCAGGGTGGAAAACAGGTATTTTGATGTTTGCTACTAATTAACGAGATAAACTAACATCAAAGCCAGGATTCGAGCCAGGAATCGAGCTACGACTCGAGCAAGGACTCGAGCCAGGACTCCAGTTAGGACTTTTCTAAACTTTTTGTACGCAAAAAAATAAATAAAATAAATAATTAATCAACAAATAAACAAAAGTAA